CAAGGGACAAAAAAAAAAAAAAAAAAAAAAAAAAAAAAAAAAAAAAAAAGATGCCAACAAAGGGACTTCTGTTCTGCCTTGAGAGAAGACTCTTGGCACAGGAATTTTCCAGCTTGAGTGAGGGTTTTTTCTCTGCTCTTTCTAGTCTTGGTAACAACTTCCTATTCTTGAACCCAACTTAACTCCTATTCCCAATTCTCTGTCTCCTCAGGGATCTTTCTCAAATGACCTTACCTTTTCTGCAGCTCTCCCTGCTCCTTTCCACAGGTGATCCCCACAGCCTTGCTGAGCCTGCTACTCCGGCGCCCCATCGCGGAGGCTAAGGCGCGCCTGGCTGCAGCTCCTTCCGTCTGTGAAGTTGTCAGGAGCGCCCTCTCTGGGCCGGGTCAGAAGCGCACCACCTCGGAGACCCTACAGCCTGGAGTGCAGTGAACTGATGTTTCTGGGACCATGAAGGGACAGAGCCTGGGTCCAGTCCCAAGACGACTTGTGCCAGCAATGCACGTGGTGGTGGGACAAACCTAATTTGGGGGCGGGGGCACTAACGCCCAGGATCGAGAAAGAGTTCTATCTCAGCCGGATCATTTCCACTTTTACTGGTATCTTCCTATCTCAGAAATAAAATTAAATGTCTTGTTTTGGAACCTAACCTTGCAAAAAGTCAGTTATCAGACTCAGTACTCACAAACAAGGAAAATGGGGGCATCGGGTAATTTCGGGCAAGAGAGAAGCTGTGTTCCAGATACTATTCACTAGAGAAAGACAATCCCAATGAGACAAGATCCTTCTGACAAGAATGAAGGCCACATCCCCTTAGAGACTAGTGAGCTTTGGCTGCACTCTCTCCCTGTGTTTGCAAGAAAGAGCAAAGGAACTCTGGGTTGCTGGGGACCCTTTGGTGGTAGGATCCAACAAACACTAGAAACTTGTCTGCACAGTTTTAGACTTCGGCTATCACCGGATAAATCAAAGGCACCTGAATTCCTCCCAGGTGCAGTCTTCAGTACCTGAGGCCAAGGCTCTTAGTGTAGAGGTCTGGCTCCCCCTTGTGGCCGAGAGATAGCCAATTAAGAGATGCCCCAGGACCTCCCCCATGGAGAGAGTTAAGGGAGCCTTTACAGGCTAGAATTATTTGGGGATGTTACAGGGAAAGTCAAAAATCAAGGAAAGCTTTGGAATAAAGGAGGCAAATAAAACCCGAGAATGTTTTGAAGGCTTACAGTGGTTATGTGGAATGAACAACAGAATTAGGTACTTGTTAGGGGATTCAGGGCTCTATGCAGAGCTGAAGAAGTTCAGAAATGTGTTAGAATGGAGTAAGGCGGGGTGGTGCATGCCTGTAATCCCTTCACGTGAGAGGGTGCATAGGAGATTGTGAATTGGAGGCTCCATTGCAAGAGCTCTTTCTCTCTCTGTCCCAGAGAATTATCCAGAGACAAATGGCCTACAACTTGCCTCCAAATAGCTGGCACTCTTTGGAGAAAGCAAACATCTGAGAGGACAGAAACAACTAGAGAGTAAGCAGCGATGATGCTGAAATGTTGATGGGAGGTTGACCATTGGATTGAAGAAGATAGAAGCAAATGATCCCTTAGATCATTTGCTGGATCAAAACCAAGAGTATTTAGGGTGGGAGACAGTTGGATACTGAACACATTCAAAGTCTAATATATTAAAAAATGGAACTCATGCTGGGCGTTGGTGGCGCACGACTTTAATCCCAGCACTTGGGAGGCAGAGGCAGGTGGATCTCTGTGAGTTCGAGGCCTGGTCTCCAGAGCGAGTGCCAGGATAGGCTCCAAAGCTACATAGAGAAACCCTGTCTCGAAAAACAAACAAACAAACAAACAAACAAACAAAAAAACGGAACTCACGACTATTCTTCCAGGTCAGCTAGCTATTAATTTCACAACTTAGGTGGTACTGGGTTTAGGCAGGCTAGCTTGGGTCTTGGATATGTTAAAGAGCCTGTAAGGGAGTTTGAACCAGGTAGGGGATGAAAGTACCAACCCAGTTCCAGATATGGGCTCAACAAACACAGCAAAATGCTCAGTATCCCATCTAAACTCAAGGTGGGGTTTATACACACAGATTAGATCCTAGTGTCGTGAGGACAGGCATTGCATATAGAATCTAGATGGTGTAAAACATTCTCTTCAGGCTGGAGAGATGGCTTAAAGGTTAAGAGCACTGATTGCTCTTCCAGAGGTCCTGAGTTCAATTCCCAGCAACCACACCATGGTTCACAACCATCTATAATGAGATCTGGTGCCTTCTTCTGGAGTGCAGGCATACATGCAGACAGAACACTGTACATAATAAATATATAAATCTTTAAAAATTTCCTTCATGGGAGAGGGAAGAGCTGGTTCTCTTTTTAGTTGGTGACTGGGGGCTACAGAGCAGAGAGAAAGACACAGAAAGATGAGATCTGGTTTATAGGGTTCCCAAACTCCAGAAGGATGGGTTATATTGAAGATAAACAGACAGAAGATATTCTCACAGCTAAAGCTGGAAGAATTGAGCAACAAAATGGATAAGGCAGTACTGAGTTATAACACAAAGTACAAAAGAAATAACGCACACATCCATACCAATAACTATAAATGAACAAACAGAATGTGGTGAGGGGGAGACAAATCTTTCTTACTCGAGAATTTCAAATAACGTGTGTTGTGTTATAGCATTTCTCCAGGAGATGGGACTTAATCATCCCAGGCCCCCATACCTCCAATAGGAGTTAGATTTATAGATTTGCCACTTCCAGAAGCAAAATATGAACAAAGATAATAACCTCAAATAGAGAAATGTGGTATGTACTACCCTACAAAGTAATTGAGACTAGTGTTGCAAGTTGATAACATGCCTCTTTGGGTAGGCTGGAATAAGAAGGGCGTGCCACTACTTTGTATTCTCCACCCACCCCCCCACCCCCCCCCCCCCCCGCCACACACACAGTTTCAGTCTAAGCATAAAGAGAACATCATAGAGACCATCCCTACCATCTGGCATAGTGGTAGAGATTTGCGAAACACTCAGGACTCTGGGTTTGGTCTCCAATAGCGTGGTACTATGGATTGGATCATGATCATTGGTGGGAAAATGTGAGATCCAAATGAAGGCTGGTCTAGTTAATTGTAAATGTGCCAGTGTTTTCGCTTTATTTTTTGAGATAGGGTTTATGTAGCTCAAACTGGCTTTGGATTTGCAGTGTAGCCAAGGTTAGCACTGGATTCTGGATCCACATTGCAGGTTTGTCTCACGATCTTGACAAGTGTACTGAAGTTGTATAAGATGTTTAGAGTGAGGCTGGGGACTGGCAGTGGTGGCGCATGCTAACTTTAAGCCCAGCACTCAGGAAGCAGAGGCAGACAGATCTCTGTGAGCTCCAGGCTAGATTGGTCCTCAGAGTAAGTTCCAGGACAACCAGAGCTGTTACACAGAGAAACCCTGTCTCAAAAAACCACACACACACACACACACACACACACACACACACACACACACACACACACACACACAAAGAGCCGGGTGTTGGTGGCACACGCCTTTAATCCCAGCACTTGGGAGGCAGAGGCAGGCGGATCTCTGTGAGTTCGAGGCCAGCCTGGTCTCCAGAGCGAGTGCCAGGATAGGCTCCAAAGCTACACAGAGAAACCCTGTCTCGAAAAGACAAAAAACAAAAACAAAAACAAAACAACAACAACAACAAAAAAGAGTGGGGTTAAGGAAATGGCTCAGTGGTTAAGATCACTGGCTGCTCTTTCAGAAGACCTGGGTTGAGTCCCAGCAACCAAATGGTGAAACTGTAACTCAAGTTCCAAGGGGATCTGATGCCCTCTTCTGAGTCTCTTGGTCACACATGTGATCATAGACATATATACATGCAAAATATCCATACACATAAAATAAATTTAAAAAGATGTCAAGGATAGAGGAGAAAGGGTAAGTGGGTTTACTATACTATTATTACAGCTTTTGTGATTACTCCAAAATAAAAAGTGTATTAAAGTAGCTAGGATTCCTGCTGGGATAGGATGGCACATGCCTTTAATCCCAGTACTCAGGATGCAGTGGCAGGCAGATTCCTGAGTTCAAAGCCAGTCTGGTCTACAGAGTGAGTTCCAGGATGGCCAGGGCTATGCAGAGAAACCTTGTCTTGAAAAAGAACAAAACAAAAGCAGATTATAATAGTATGTCATGTGTGGGAAGGGCTAAATGAATTTAAATATTCTAAGGGCCCTGCATTATGCATGAGAAAAATGTTTGATTGATTTAACACTCTGATCAGTGTGCATAGAGCATTATGAAAGATACACAGGGCTAGTGAGATGACTCACAGGTAACCATACTTGCTGCCAAGCCTGGTGACCCGAGTTTGACTCTCAGAAGTAGAGAGCACAGGGATGGAGAGCTGGCTCTGTGGTAAAGAGCACTTGTTGTTCTTGCAGAGGACCCAGGTTCAGTTCCTAGCACCCACAAGGCAGTTCACAACCATCTCTAACTCCAGTTCCAGGGAATCTTATGCCCTCTGCTGACGTCCTTGGGCACCAGGCACACATGTGGTTCACATACATACATGCAGGCAAAAACACTTGTACACATAAAAAGAACTAAATCTAAAAAAAATACATTTGAAAAGAAGAAGAAGAGAGCTGACTTTATCAAGTTGTCCCCTGACCTCCATATGTAGGCCACAGTGCAAGTCCACACACAAACACACACATACACACACACACACACACACACACACACACACACACACCATGTACACATACACTAAACAAAAACATAATAAACAAATGTAATTTATAAAAAGGCATTCACTAGGTGTAGCTTAACAGCAGGATGATTGGCCAGCATGTGTGAGGCCCTGGGTTGGGAACTCCCAGCACTGGGGGAAAGGTACTTACTAGCGGGATATATACGATTACTATGCTGCTATCTATTCCTTTAGCACAGCTACTTAGCTTAGACACTACAACATGAGAGCAGCCATAGACACTATGCAAGTGAACCAGATGGAAGATAGAGACTATGTTTATATCCCTTGTTCATTATGTCTTCTTTTTGAGCACCTGTAGACTGCTTTAATTATTTTAACTTTTCTGTTTAATGCCGAGGATTAAACTCAGCCGCATGCATGCTGGGGATCTGTTGTACCAATGAGCTGTTTACATCCCCAGCATGGTGGCTAAATATTTAAGACACAAAGAATATCTTTTCCATACACAATAGGCTACTTGATCAAGAAAAGAAATTTGTTTTGGCTCTGAGTTGAAGCAGTGTTGAGAGGTCATATCTGGTGACAGACTCTTTGCTGGTAGGGTCCAGATGTGGGACAGGGAGCACATGTGTGTATGTATGTCCATTTTCCTCTCTTCCCCTTCTAAGGCTACCAGTCTTCCACCATGGGGGCGCTGTATGCATAATTTTATGCTTATTTGCCCCGATAGCCCTACTTTTAACCACCATAGTTGAAGTCAGGCTAGTGGTGCTCACACGCCCTCTCACATGTGTGGTGGTGGCAGTGGCATCAAGAAGTT